GAAGATATAATGTTATATCGAAGTGACTATTTGCACATAATGTGTAAAAAAGAAAGGAATAATTACAAATATGACAAAAATATTTAATAAAAAAAATTAAAATATCAACCAACATTTAGATTTTTTAAATATAGCATTTTTTCAACAAAAAATGAAGTTCCAATTTTAAAATTACAACTTTACACTGCAATATATCTAATATACATATGTAATATATCTGCAATATATTTAACTAATATATGTCTATAATATACCACTAATATAATAATGATATATAATTGATTTACTTCTTATATAATTATGATACCTATTAAATTTTTAATATAACTTACCATCGATATACGTATGATAACCATTGATTTTCTATGTCGATACAACATTTATATATCTATGATATACACTTGATATGTCTCTAATTTACCATTGATATACAAATGATATACCACTAATATAACTTCTTATATATGATTTACCACTAATATAACTTTTTTTCTTTTGAAGAAAAAGATACCATTAATATAAAATTGATATATATGTAATATACTTCTAATTTACCACTATATAGCTCTAATACAACCATGATATCTACTAATATAATTATGATACTTGTGTGTTGATATATATAACACTATTATATCCAATTTTTTTTTCATATGAAGTTAAATATAAAGTTATTGTATAAAAGGTTTATGTGAATCATGCACGTCCAAAAAAAATAAAAAAAAATCTAATATACTTTATAAATTTAAACAATTAATATCTTTTATATTTAGTATCTAATTAATATTAATATAGAATAAATAGTAGAGATATAGTAATCAACGTTATTGATAATATTAGTATATTAATCAACAAATTGCAATGATGAACTAGAATTTAAATCGCTGATATACCACTAAATATTAAATATTTGATATACCGTATATTTAATATATCAGTTGCAAATATATTTAATATATCATAAATTAGATGACGTCAGATATATATATAAGAGATATAATACAATGTATATCATTAGTACATTCGATAATGTATATCAAAAATACATCGAATGTATATCAAAAGTACATCGAATGCATATTAGATATAGATTTGATGTATATTAGATCCATATATACATTAGATTTATATCAGATATAGATATACATTGAATATATATCATATATTATAAGGGTAAAATCGAAATAATAAAAATTCTAAAAATAAAAAATCAAATATTTTACTATATTTAAAAATTTTGAAAGTCGGACGACATTTTTTAAAATATAAGAATTATTTTTGCTACCCAATGCAATTACCAAAAAGAAATCGTGAAAACTCTAGCTTTAATTTGAAAACATACACAAAATTTAAAAACCAAAATTTGATATTTCATTCATCAAACGAGGGAATAAGAATTCAAGTTTCTAGTAGAGCAACGTAGTGTAATTTCATCTATTGGCCAGATGAGTAAGGTTTGAATTATACGGTTCTTGTTTAAAATCAAACGATAAGATTTCCAAAGTAGAAGCAATAAGTGGAACAAAGAACCAATAACATTTTGTTTATAGCAAACAATGTTAAAAAATTGTAAAAACATCTTATCTTATAATTTCAAAAGTAGAATGAATGGCAGTTGCTTATATCAAATCAAATCTTACCCCTTCCCCAAAAAAAAAATCAAATCTTACCTTAAAGGATCATAACCAACCATAGAAAAAATATATATATCATATAACGAAGCTTTGACTTTGAAAAGAGCCGTGTGGGAGGGTGTTCGCAAGGACCAAAGACCAGAGACCAGATGAGGTCTGTCTTACCTTCTCAAAGACAACTTTTTTAAAGTACAGGTAGCCTCTGCACTGACTTGACCAACACTAAAGTGCCCAAAAGAAAAAGAAAAAACAAAGAATACTACTTTCACCTGGCGCAATCAAAATTCCAATCTAATCCAAAGTTAACCATTTTCCAGAACTTTTGTATAATTTCTTAATTTTCTCAAAATTGAGGGGGAAGGGGGACTTCTCTACCAAACTATTAAGAAACAAGATTACCGTGTTTAATCCTGTGAAATGGTGGCAGATTCCTTCAAGCATGATCGCATGATCTTCACAAGCTTACACGAAGCATCAAGGCAAAGCTGCATACCCTGTGTGGCGTGGTGTGGTGGTATCAGACCATCAAGCAAGGTTTTAATACTATAAACTTTCTTCAACATGAGTAAGACATAATTTGCATTTAAATCTCGCACTGACAGCATATTTCATTCTCATGGCTCAGGTAGGCAGCTAAAAGAGTTAAATTAAAAGATAGAATGTTGGATGTTATACCTCGTTGATTTTGGCAGTTGACCATTCACCTGTGATAGTGAGCTGAGTGACCTCGTAACGAGATGGCATACAAGTTATCATCAGACTTCCATCTTGGTAGTTTTCCTCTTCCAACATAGGATCAATAAGGAGGTTCTTACCGAAGCAACTCTAGTCAACAAATGAGAGTAAATATATCAGAACTTAGAATTCCAAATTCATCAAGGAGATGCTAATGACTTGTATAAACATGATGTAGTAAACAACTACCAGTGCATTAAGTTGAAAATGAAAATGCGATTTGAAACACCCTGTTTTCAAGTCAGCAAAATGTCAGTGTAAAACAAAAATGCTTCTTCAATCGCAGAAAGGAGAGAGTCCCACAAAGGGGAACATAAAGAACTACAATCTCCTACTTCTCCTACTATTAGGATTCAATTGTCAGCTAATTGAACTCTCGTATATATACAAAACCCTGTGCAGTCAAAGAGCTGGTTGCATGGAAAAGAGGATGCATATTATACTTTAAATAGTGAATAAATCTAATGAAAAGGCTTTAGGCTAGAAGTACAAAACTAATATAGTAGAAACATGAGAGTTAAAATGCGCTTAACTGCGTACCACAGAAACCGAGGCAACAAGATCATAAAGCATAATCCCCGCATCAGCAAGAGCAAGACTGGCACATGATATTACAACAGGAAGATCACCTGCAACAACAAAATATCAATAGAGGGAAATAATTCTTACTTGCACGCTTTAGTTTATATGATAAACATATTATATATCAAGCAAACTACTGTTTAGAAAGGTAATGCAGAGAGCTAGGGAGAAAATAGTCAGCTAGCTCCAAATGGATGCAGCAAGCACAAAATATGCATTGTAATCCCTAAGTAATGGACATTTTCTTCTTTCCAAAAGAAAGACAAGTTAGGCAGAAACAGAAGTTTCCACAGTGGTATGGGAGTAGAACATGAAACTTCTGAGTGCGTCAAAAGTAGTGTGATAGCTCGTTCGACTTCAAAATAAAATCACAAATCGTAAGTACTTCCAAGTGAGAGTAAGCTTGAATCAGTTCATCCACTAGTATCCTGACAATTATTATCCATCTAATACGATCCTCAACTTACTGCCACCAGACTCTAACACCAAGGCAAATATATCCACAGTTGTCTTGGGGAATGTCTCCAATATAATTGCCCCTTCCAAAGCTTTGTGTAGCATTGAGGAGAACTCTTTGTTTTCTGATCCCTGACAAAATGAAATTTCAAAATGACATACGCAATGACAATCAGTTTAAACTATATAGATTAAGAGTGGGTAATCTTTCAAACCTGTCCACGAACTGGAGTGGCAAATGTTGTATAACTGACACTACAATTGAGGCGGCCAATATCACTGTACATCATTGCTTTCTTACTTTCTCTAGGGCCAAATCTGATGCAAATAATGGATAATTTGAATAGATAAGAGGAGACATCTCATAAATCATAATACATGCACAAAAAACTGCAAGAAATTAGCAAAAGATTTAAATGATAAAAGGAAAGGAAACGCAAGTTATCAGATGGGGAGTCCAAGCACACGTTGGTATTAAAACACTCGTCAGCAAGGATAAAACTAGAAATCACAGAGAGCACGATCTTTGGAGTAGGGTGTAAGCTAGTACTTACACAGAAACAATGACCTTGGTATTACCAAACTCTGCATATGCAGATCCTGAAGCAGCATTTACAGCACCAGTCCTAAAAACTGCACGTGAAGATGACTTTAGTTCTATGAAGATAATGATGTTTCAGTATAAATCCAGCAGAAAAATATAAAAACTACCAAGTAACATATATTCAAAATCCTCATTTCTTGAAGTCATGGACTCAAGATCAACTACCAACATACAGAACCACGCCTCCAAGTTAGAACCCTTTACTAGGACTTCGATATAAAGTCAACACATATTATGATTACATAACTCTAAACCATGTTATTTCCTACTTCCCAGTCAATGTTCGATTTATTAAAAACCATGGCATCGACCAATTTTGCCATCAATCAATAGAAAATAGATGCTTAACAGGAAGAAATAAAAAAGTTAACGAAATGGTCAACAGCTTCCACTCCGTTTCCCCAAGAAGTGAAAAAGGAAGGGAGATATGACCAGTCACCCGGAAGATCCCTAGATGATAAACCAAGATGCTCAATCCCATTTGTCATATTATCCTGAAAAGATATCATAACCATGCAAATACAGAGCCAATTTAACCTCTCCCCCTGTCTCGCATTGAGACAGCAGTGATAGAGCCCAAGTGCTAGGCAACTATATTTATTTATCTATTCAAGAAACAAATTCCGCAAGAATAAACTAACTAAGACCCGTAAAAGTACCCTACTAACAACTCTAGAAATCAAAATCACATCAAGCTCAGACTTGCAGCAATTAGAAACTTTAGTTAAACATTAAACGAAACAATAAACAAATGCTACATTGTGTGGAAACAGGGCAAATGCGGAAAACAGAATCTGGAGAGATAGACATACAAGCAGGACGGCACTGGTGGAAGCCTCGGCCATCCGGACGAACCCAGTCGGCTTCGTCGCTTCTGAAGATGGGTGGCCTGGTTTTGTGGATAGTAGGAGACGGAGAATATGTAGTCGTAGCTGGCGTCGCTTTTTTGGCCATTAACGATGCCGATGACTTCGTCGATAAGTTAGAAGGTCCCGCCCCAAGTTCCCCGTGGAATGGCACGCAATGAAACGCGTCAGTAGCTATTTTGTACGGATAAACGCACAAAAAGTTCCATTTCGACAATAAAAAACCCGCAACAAAATCAGAATTTAGGGTTCAAATAATCAAAAACAGAAAGAAAACGAAAAAAAAAAAGAAAGAAATTTTCTTAGCAGCTGCTGTCGTGACAAATGAATACAAAAACCCTCAATCGATCACTTTAAAGAATGATTGCTTCTAATGCGAGAAAAGGGAGCGAGAATGAGATCAAATGAAAGCGCGGGAGATTGAAAACAGTCTGTGTGTGTGCCCGAGAGTGACGGTGAAGAGGAACGGAAACTAGCAAACCTTGTACGACGAAAACGAAGAGTCCCAAAACAGAAACAAGCGAGATCGAGAGGGAAAGAGAGCAATCAGAGCGATTTCTTTCCTAGGTCAGTCAAAAAACCTGAGAGGCGGGGGCCAGCGCCAAGATTGAGAAGCTGAATCTTGGAAGCGGGCGGGGCGCGGCGAGACCACTGCTATTTTAGTACTGAAGCTTCAGATACATCTTTTTATAGTTTTCTATTGTTTAAATATTCCGATGTGTCATTTTATGACAAATAGCTAACATCATAAAATTACTCTACTTGGAATTAAAATTGGAGTATAGTCCAATTGGTTAAGATATTATACATTTGTTCTAATAGTAATGTTCAAATCTTCATGCCTCTGGAAGAATGAAAACAAAGTTATAGTTTAATTGGAATATATAATAAGAAAAAGATGAATTGAAAGAAATGAAAAATTATCAAATAAAAAAAAATTACAAGCATTCAAAACTTGAAGAATCTTTATAAAACTGATACTGCACAGGATGTGAACCTCCATTTTTTAGAAGAGTGAGAAATGTCGGTGAATTATACAAAATTGAGATCATCCCATGTATATTTTGCATTTACAAATGTAGCAATTCAAACTTCTTTTGCCTGAAGGGGCTGCAGCATTTCATACCTTTCCAACTCCATTGTTGGGAAAAAAAATGACAGAACTTGATAAACCCATTTAACGAATTTCTTTGTAAGATTTTCCCTAACCATCTCTGTACACGAGCAAAAGTATACACGAGGACGAGACATTGTAGTCACAGAGCATCCAGTTCTTCACTTTTTTTTACCCCTCCTCTCTTTTGTATGAAGGGTAGTGGGAGGAAACCATGGATCAAATTTGGGCCCTGTTGGCTTTATGGTTTCTATTTTCTGAAGTAATGAAAACTGTGGTGTGATATGAGACTTTGATACTCTTGCCATGATCAAATAGCTTTTATGAAGAGGATTTAACATTCACAATGCAGAATGACTCGAACCGTGGCTCGGTCAGGTCCACCATTTCATCATCTGGGACTCGGAGATTGTTACCCTTTGATGTCAAGTGTACTAGTCTTTCAATATACTCGGAAGAAATGATATCTAGGTTACCATTGTTGCCAGCACAAAGAGAACGATCGGGCCATTTCCGGAATGAATCTTGCCTTTGCGTCACATTGTCAATGGAGCTCGCCTCAGTATGGACTTGTTTCGCTAAAGGATTCACGTCGTCCTTTACAATGTCTGGTTCACTCTCCATACTACAGGCTGATAGCCTCCCCTTCATGAAGCAAGAAAAGAGAAAAACATCCAACACTCAACTGGTGCAATAACTAAGTAAAACTCTTGCTGTTTGTTAGAGTGCTCATCGATTCATCAAGCAATAAGAAAAATACTAGGAGCTTTTTGAGTGAACACAAACACAACACAAAGTGATACAAATGCTGTCTGTCTTAATGGGTAGGGCATCTAAAAGACAAATTTGGTAGTCATCAGGCATGCTCCACCATTATGACAGAAACTTGAACTTATCTAGAGTCCAGAGCTAGTTGTTAATTTTAATTAATGGAAGTTGGATTTGAACCTAAGGCTGATTAAACCTTGCTTTATGAGTAAATGAGAAGGACTCGCGGTAATTTTTTTTTGAGGGTGTTGTATTGGTTAAGCAATTAAAGAACGGCCAATTTGATATTATGTTCAGATGGTTCTTAGATTACCTTGTGACAATGAATTGTAGGTTGTACAAGTAATTGGTATCGACAGAAGAAACACTAATTGATGCAAAGTAAAAGATAACGAACTTGGCTAACCTGAAAAACATTTGCAGAAATGTTATTCCTTCTTGATTTATCTGGAGCAATATTTGAAAGAACTTGAACAACTTCGGTCATGGTGGGTCTAGCATCAGGATCCAACAGCAAGCACTCCTTCGCTAAGTAAGCCATTATCTGCATCTCTTCCTCCGGGAACATTCCATGTAATTGTGGGTCGGGCAATTCTGTTGCAACTCGTCTACTATTTTGCAACCGGGGAGCAGCCTAGGGAAAGATAAAAGAGTATTTTTATCCGCATTAGTAACTGATTCCTAGGTGATCAATCTAGTATATGTTTATTTCTTCTCAAAGTAATTAGGTAAATGATGAATGAACTGTATACTTACGAAAGCTTATCTTATAATCAATCTAATGCACCATTAATGAACAGAAGAGAAATTGGAGATGCCAAAATAATAAAAAATCTTATTACAGCTTTTCCATGAAATAGATATGAGAGCTATATTCATATTTAGATTTAGCAAAAGGATAAAGTTTATTCTACCCATATTGCAAGGCTTTCCTCTCCTTTGCTTGCTGATTTGTGGATAGGATGCTGACCAGTTATGAGTTCAAGAAGAACTACTCCGAAACTGAAGACATCAGATTTCAAAGAGGCTCTTCCAACAATTGCATACTCTGGAGCAAAATACCCAAAAGTCCCCTGCATTCTTGCTGGAGAACTGGAACAGCTAGGAAGATCATCACCTCGTAACCTTGTAGCCATTCCAAGATCTGTTATCTGTGGACGCAGATGAGTACATTCGGATTATAAATTTTCAACTGTTTCATAATGATGGTTGTAACAACAGCATAGGTTATTTGATGGGTTGTAATTATATCTTACTTTTGCTCTCCAATCTTTGTCCAAAAGAATATTTGTTGACTTGACATCTCTATGCAAAATTCTGGGAGCAGCTGCTTCATGAAGATATTCCAAGCCTCTAGCAGCTCCTAAAGCGATTGTAACCCGAGTACCCCAATCCATTTTTTCCCCTGAAGCCGCATCCAAACAGTCCCTTAGATTACCCTTTGGCATGTATTCATATACCAAAAGCCTTTCAGTATGTTTGCCTCTTGACTCTGTGCAGTAGCCAAGTAGAGGCACTACATGACAATGGTGAAGTCTTGATAACAGTTGTATCTGAACAACAAAATATGGAAGAATATAAGATTAACAACATTAGTGAGATATAAGGGAAAATGTGTTTAGTGATATAAAGGGATCAGTGGAGCTGATACTTCTGTTAAGAACAAGTAGTCCACGTCCGCTCCTCCTTGAATATTGAGCCGCTTGACTGCCACCGTTCTACCGTCCTTCAACTCACCACAATAGACAAAGCTACTTCCCCCACGTCCTACAAGATGGGAGTTTGAAAACTTATTTGTTGCATTTTCCAACTCCGAGTATGAGAATTGGATAATGATCCCACACATGCTCCGAGATCTAGTCCTCAACAAGCATTGATTCATGTAAAAACATCCTGCAAAATGGCAAGGCTATCAGCTTAGGGACGTATAGATGAACAATTAATAGAAAAAATTAGTATTATTTAATACCAGCAAAATGATAAATATGCCAGCAGCATAACTAAACTTTGGAAAATGAATGCAATGTTAATACGCTCAAGTAGAAATCTACAGATGCAATTTCATAAAATTTAATAAACATTAAGCCTCAGTAAAAATACTAACTGGCATACCTTTGATGTTATTCACAGGGGAACCCATCGTAAACTTGCTATCTGGTGTTGAAGAACTCTTGTGACTAATTAGGTTGGTCAAGCTGTTGTAGCTCAATTGCTTATCTAATGAAAATATTGGGGTTCGAACACGGCACTTGTCCCTTTGAGAAAGATAGCAAACCACTAAGACGAGGAATGCTAATGTTATGATTATTACACATAGTAGGAGAATAATCACAACCACATTGCTCGAAATATGCCTTTTAGACGAGGGTGGCTCCGGAAGCAGTCCTGTAATGGAGCAATGGAAATGTGTTATCCAAGGAAGATTCTAATTGCCTTTGATCTGTACTAGATCATTTTATAAGAACAACATGATAATATATGAGCCATGCAAATATAAAAAAGAGTTTAACATTCAGATAAAACATAGAGATAGGGCAAGACTAAGATAAAACAAAACTAATCCACATTAAAGTTTTCTATATGTTGACACCCACAGCTTTGGAGAAACTTAAATTGCTGCAAATTTTCACAACTAAACAATAAACAGTCAACAATCACAAAATTGCAGTGGATAAGCTTACCCAATAAGACAACAACAGAGATACATATGCACTCAAAAAAATCACCAACAAAGTGAGAGATTAATATATACCAGAAGAGCAGTTGCAGGACGTAAAACAGTTAGAATCACGGTGATCGGCTGCAACTCTTGGAAAGCCATCAGTTGCACAGATGCATGTCCACAATCCAATTCCCCCTGCATCTAAAATAGAGGGGTAATATAATTAGTATGTCACGTACCTCAACAGACAATTCAATGCACTCCAAAAATCAAAGCAGTAAAGAAATATAAAGTTCATACACGACCACCAAATTTCTCGTGTAGAGATTTTGAATGGACATCTGATACTCTTACAGAATCTTAATAATTTTAAATGCAATTGCATCATTTCAAAAAGAGAAAAAAAAAATGCTTTTCACCAATGTTTCTGGAATATTTGACGCCAAAAACTAGGTTTCAGCATAGAAAGAAGCATACGCAGGATGCTATGTTGATTGACATAGTATGAGGAGAAATCATTTGATGCTCGACCTTGAATAAGTCGAAAAAAGGTCATAGTTTTTTCAACATTGTTATAGCAACAAATGATGAATCAAAATGATTAATACATTTAAGGATGCTGGTTATACCCTGCGTGCACGAACATGATGTAGAACAGTTTGCAGCAAGTGCTAATCTCTGATTTTCTTGGTATGGAGAAAAGCATTTACACGTCCAGTTTCCAGGGATGGAAGCATCGGAAGTATCAGCTGACACCAAAACATAAACACAGAGTTAGCCTGATATTATCTATGAGAAAACTAATCAAACATGGACCAATGCGTAGAAGGCAAAGATTGATAAAGTATGCTGCTCTGAATACTAACTGCAAAAGGCTTGTTGCATCAAGATAAAGCTCATCAGAGAAATGAAGGTGGTTGTCACTTGGCGCTTCATTGTATCTGAGTCAAACACAGAGAAAGAAAATTGAAACGAAGCAGAAAGTAATTTGTCAAAGATTGATTTCTACTTCATGCAGAACATTTAAAGAACATACTTTGGTCTAATTGACAAAGAGTCGTGGATAGTAAGTTTCTCGCAACATGCAAAGAAACGAACAGATACTTGCGCTCCAAAATGTTGTTAGCAAACATACATTGCACGATATTTGGAGCTAAATGTTGTCGGTATAGCAGGCAATATTAGAATCCAATAGGAGATGAGAATTATCTTGTTATGTGAAAAACAATTATAACTTTCAACAGTGCTTATAATTCGAGAAAAAATAAAAATAAAATACTTACTAGCTAACAACTAAAAAATAAATTCCTTTTTTAGATTAGAAAAACTAGAGCAGAAGTTCGATAGAATATGCGACAATTTAATTGAAAGGAATCAGAAAATAGACCCTCATTGTGGACAGGGGCAATATTTCTACATGCTTCTTGTCCCAAAAACCAGAAAACCATTAACACTGAATTGATGTTTCAGCATAAAGAAGAAAATCAAGAAGATCTAGTATGCAGATGCCTAGACTGTTTCATAATAACTACGAACATATACAAGCTACCAGGATCTAATTTCACATGGTAGACCAGGAGGAACAAAATATGACATCCGAGAACATTCCAGTTTACTGCCTTGTACTGAAAATTCTTCTTTGAATCAGTTATAAAATGATTAATTAAAAAACTGGGAGTATAACAATTAGTTTCTATTTTCAAATAGTCTTCACTCGATTACGTAGGAACTACTGATTCAGTTCCACTGTGGAGAACAAATACAAAAATAGTACAAGTAAAATACAAATTTGGAGAGATAGATTGCTTAAGGTAAAAATTGCAGTAGGTTGGAATTGCCTAGTTCATGAGTTGGTCAACAAACTTGTTAAAATTTTCAAGTCATTTAAACCAACAAACTGAAAATTTAAGCATGATACAATTAATACAAGCAAGAGTGTAATAAATTTGTGATTGTCGAACATAAACATATTAAGAATTTATCAAGACGCTTCGTGATTATTAACTGTTTAAACAATTATCCAGACAACCAAACCAGAAAATAAAGCCAAAAAAACTTATTTAAATATCTAATTGTCTGGTAATGCAGTGACATGTGGAACCAGTAAATAAAGTCGTTTCAACTTCCAAGTGAAGTCACGTCAAAAAATTAGGACACCCTGCCAGCCAATGTAAAACACATTTCCATAACTGATGGCCCCCTCCATCTTCAATTCCCCCAACAAAACATTTAAAGTTTGATAAAATCAAGGGAAACATATAAGACAACTACCTCTCTTTTAATCATGAAATTAATGCACCTGCTTTATTGAGGTTGTTCAGATTTCAGAATAACCCAAGAAACGACGGAAATTGGGCATTTAACCAGAACCAGCATAATACACACTGTTCTATTCAAATAGCAAAACTAATTGAGCGAGACAAATCAGAAAATCTGAACTTAAATAAGACCATAAACTTCAAATGAGTACGAAAGAAACGAAAAGACTGTTTTGTAATGCTATCATTGATATTTTGAACCCCAATTCAAGAATTAATACGACATTAATCAAAGTAAGAAAATGTACGCATACCCAGATGATCAAAATAGTGGATTGAGCAGGCCGATTACAATTTACAATTAATGGTTGGAAGAGAAAAATGGGGAAGGAAGAAAAGGTACATGACAGAAAGGGAATTGTGGTGGACAGAGACTGCCGAGTGCCGATGGTTCGGATATATTCAGAATTGGAATCAGGCTGAAAACAGAACCCATGACCACCACTCTGAAAGTGACCCGTTTGCGAATCCGAAAGTGACTGCTCAACATACAACGAATATCAAGTTGCTACTCTCACCTTCTGACATTGTTTATATTTTACTTTTTCGAAAAACATCTACTACCAACGGATAAAACCCACCTTTAAAAGGGAAAAAATACAACGGCTATAGGACTACCAGACTTGGCTTCAAAGATATGCATAAATTCGAGAAGTATGCAAAGCGAAATGTAAAGTAGTCGAGTTTCAAGTTTCAACGTCTGACCTCGAAATAGAAATAGAAAAATAAAATACCAAGGGTGAAAAAAGAAAAAGGGGTAGAAAAATAAATTATAGTCCCGGTTTTCAATGGGATCCGGAATTGTGTCCCACATCCCCACCAACTTTGTGTCGGCTATGGAGACCGCCAAAGAGCGGACACTCGCTACAATAATCGTGCATCCATCACCGTTGATCAAGATGATCCCTAACGTCCAAACAATGGGCGTTCAGATATTGCCAAAACATGGCCCTGGACTGAAGGCTGGCCTCCTCAAACCAAGTAGCATACAAGTGATGTTATCTCACGAACACAAATTTTATAAGCCCTATTCCAGATAGATTAAACAGAGAAGTTTGCGCTTACCCACTAAAATCATAGACTCCGTCTCGGATTGGCGCGGCTTTCACTTCATTATCCTCTCGCTCAAATGAAAACACAGAATACCCAGCAGAAGAAGCTCTTTTATCTTCCTAAATGGAACTGACCCTCAATGTTCTGATACTTCAATCAAGCTGAAGAGGTGCCAAATTTATAGGAAGCGTTGAGAAACAAAGCGACAACCGATCAAGAAGCACACAATTTGTGGACCAATGAGCTCCCTTTGAAGCTCATTTCCGACCCGATAGGAAGATTTGAATGAAAATAAAATGGGAGTTAATAAGAGAGAAGAAGAAGGCGGTTCCCGCGTAATCTGAGACTGAGGGAGGGGGGAGCTCTGAGACTGAGAAGTGAGAAGTAGCGGAGTCGTGGATTAAACAAATGAAAGGAGGCGCCACCGGGGAGCGGTAGCGAATGGGTCTTGAAATAAATGGTGGGGCCTTCTCTTTTCTTTTCTTTAACGTCTTTTTTTTTTCCTTATTCGTCGGCTAGATGTGACGTGGCAGTGCACATGTGGATTGGGCCAAGTTAATAAAAACCGGCCGATTTGTCTACTGTCTTGAACCGTGGTCGGAGTTGTTCACATTTTTTGGGAATCGATATGTGTGACACTCGAAGCGGTTTCGACTTTCGATTGGGAAAACAATAATTAATTTTAAATTTTTGTTGATAATTTTAAAGACGTGTACATATGTCGAGCGCTTACTTTTTCTTTAAATTTTAATTACTATTTAAATTTTATTCCTATTTAATTTATAGAGAGTATTAGTACGTGTGAGTGAGAGGTGCGCTAACAAACGTTAAGATGGTCCAGTGTGACAATAAATAATTAGAAAGACATCAACATAAGATAAATAGAAATATTGTCAAAGTAAGTATAATTCAACGATAATTGGCATATACCTCCAACGACGAAGTTGTGAGTTCGAATTTTCTCCTCTCTTCATATATTGTACTAAAAAAAATAAATGGAAATATTATTTTAAAAAAAATCTATATAGAAATTTAAATTTAAATAAATACATAATTAACTTCTCTAAAATTTGATAACTAAATGAAGTAGAATATTTAAGATGGAAGCTAAATTTATAATTTAATCAAACATTAAATTAATAGATCTACTTTATTTAACAATTCCCTAACTTGAACATAACTCAATTGGTTTAAGAATTTAGTCTTTTCAAATCTATACTTCTAGAAAAACAATTTTTGAATTAAAAGTGTAGAGTTGAATTCAATCCAATAATTTTCTTCCGTAAATTTCAATTTTATATATAAATTTCAAATGTCATGTCTATTTCATCGTTAAAATCTTGAGTATACAAAACGGCTTAAATTTAATCTTGCCGACAATAATAAGAATTGACTTACTCTATGATTTAGAATAAAAAAAAAAATTGACTTCTTTTAAAATTTAAACTAAAAAACAAATCCCAAACCCGAGTCCCTTTACATAAAATCTCTATTTGTTTCTCCTATTCCTATTTTTCAAAAATCCTGATCTCCAAAACTCAATTCCAACTATTCCCCTGTTTTTGCTCAATTCAAATTTAGAGATATCTTATTTTAATATAATTAAAACGATATTGGCTACAAAACGTTCAAATCATATCAATTCTACAAATTATAAATCCAGAATCTTATATTTTGTGTAACAAGAACAAAAAGAAAAAGGTTCCAAATCAATAATAATCAAGTGAACTTTTCTATTTTCAATCAATATCATTCGTCATCACAAAATTTTAATAATTCCAACAGTCTACCAAAAAAACCTGGCAAACTCCCTGCATCAAAGGGGGCATGTAGATGTAATATAATGCACACTTAATCATTAAATTTTTT